GTCAACAAATATCAACGCAGATGACTGTCGCCTGTGGCGCGTGGCCTCTTGAAAGAGGCGCGCAGTATGCACTGCAATTTGAACAGGGTACCCCTGGCGACCTCCGACCTGCAGTGGTGCAGCTACTCTGTCGAGTAGCGGAGCACATTTGGTCCGAAAGGCACCATGCACAGCCTTGCCTACTGCAGAACTGACGAGTATGGCACGAAAAGAATCGCATTGGGTGGACGGGCCTTTACGTTTCCAGATCTGGTGTACCTCTCCGCCTTTCCACTGCAGCGGCTCAGCACATCGGAAAGACATCTTGAGAACTAACTGATAGAGTGGAAGCGAAACATTGGCTGCAAAGTGGTGCAAGAAATCTGTGGGTATCCTGTCCTTGCCGGCTGCCCGACCACAAGGGGAGTTGCGGAGCCCGCTCTCGATGTGCGTACGGTTTGGCACATCAGCAAGCTCTAGTGCAAAGGCGCTGAGGTCAGTGTTTCTCTGTCTGTTGACACACTCGGCTGCTATGGTTTCAGGGTCCTCTGGCCAACCCGCCTCGATAGCGCTGAAATGCCGGACCCACCTTGCCTCTGCTTGCTCCCTGTCAGCGGCAATGCTGCCATCCTCAAGCTGGACTGCAGGTAGTGTCTGGGCATCCTTGCGCCTACGCTTAGGCGGGCCTAAAAGGGGCCTTAGTTTGGCAGTCACACACTTGGCACTACTGCTGACAGCTTGGTGCGCAACCTCCCGTAGATACGCAGCCCTGTCTTTGCCAATGGACTTCCGGAGGGGTGGCTTGAGCTCCTTGAGCTCCTTGACGCTGTCAAGTACAGACTTGCAAGCTCGGATGGCGGCAGCAAGGTACCTTTGAGTGAGTCGAAGGAGGCCGCAACCACCAGACCATGCCTGAAACGCCCATCTAAGTTCACCATTACTGATCCAGGCAAGCCCCTTATGAACACACTTGCGAAGGTCAACACGCTTCTGACGGAATTGCCATGTGGTATCAGTAAAAAAGGTGCGCTTCTTTTTGGGGCCCCGCCTAGGAAAGGCTTGGGCGAGGCGGTCAAAGATGTGCGTGGCAAAAAGGTCATAGTGAGTATGAACATCAACAGACCAAGGCACTGCTGGGAGATCTTGGCAAATTTGTTCAACAATAGTCGGGGCCTCAGCATCCTGAAGGCGTTGCACGTCAATTTGTGCCTGTCTCTTCCTAGGACCAAATGCAACCGAAAGATAGGCGTTGGAGTCAAGAGCAACAGCGAAATGATCGACACCTTGTTGCCCAAAATCGACATCAAGCAGAACCCAGGAGGATCCAGGTGCTACCCACCAGGAGATGGGTACAAGCACAAAATCGATGCGCGAAGTGGTACCATTCCCAGGCGAGGCCCATGTGAAAGAAGGGCCGGTGTGGCAGCAGGAATACGTGGACGGCGCCCACAATTGAAGGACATGGAGGAGTCGACTCAGAGCAGCTGGCACATCAGCGCCGTGCTCCCAACACAAATCACCAATGAAGGGCTCCTCGGGAGTAGTGAACCTTGTGTTGAGATCACCAAGGAGGATGGTCTGATCCCCCCCTGCAAGGCGGATAAGCGTGTCGGAGAAACCCTTCCACCAGGCACTTCTCGTGGCGTCTGCTGCGGTTGGTGCATGGCATACGGCGATGACAAGCCGTAAGTTACCATTCTGCCATCGAGCAATGAGATATCTGGGATTCCATGACAATACTCTAAAGTCCTCTTCTGCAAAGAGGACAGGCTTGTTCTGGCACCATGCGCAAGGGATGGTGCGCGAAACCCACAGTTCAACACCATAATTGCCAGCGGAATC